ACAAACAGCTGGGCATGCTAGCGCGGTTGGCTTCGGAGCTGTTTGAATCAATGTTACGTTATGACGCTTCACGTTCTTCCCTGCATGAGTTCAAACAGCGGCTTTGGTAACGAATAATAAAAATAGATTTAATCTATATATTTAAGTAATTAATAATTGATTGAAAATCAGTTAATAATTAATTCAGTGTAAATTATATAAATACTTACTTTATTATTAAATTCAAGAATAATTTCAGTATTAAATTAATTTTAAATTGATTTTAAATTAATTTTAAATTGATTATTAAATAATTATAATAATAAAAATAAATTCAATCTATATATTTAAGTAATTAATAATTGATTGAAACTTAGTTGATAATTAATTCAATGTAAATTATATAAACACTTACTTTATTATTAAATTCAAGAATAATTTCAGTATTAAATTAATTTTGAAGTGATTTTAAATTGATTCTGAATTAATTGTTAATTAATTATAATAATAAAAATAGATTCAATCTATATATTTAAGTAATTAATAATTGATTGAAAATCAGTTAATAATTAATTCAGTGTAAATTATATAAATACTTACTTTATTATTAAATTTAAGAATAATTTCAGTATTAAATTAATTATTAATAAAATTAATAAAGTCTTCTTTATATATAAAAGTTATAATAAGAGAAGAATTGTTTTATAATTAATTAAAAATTATTTTATAATCAATTAAAAATTGTTTTATAATTAATTAAGAATTAATTATAAAATTAATAGTAAATAATTAAGTAATTTCAAATTATAAGAAAAGATGTATTAAGTGAGATTAAATAGTAGTATAGATTATATTTATAAGATCAGCTTATATAATAAGATTAAGTAATATACTTAGTAAGATTAAGTTTTTATTAAAAGTTTTATAATTAATTAGTTCTTCTACTAGTAGTATACTAATAGTAACTGAGCTCTTTTATCTCAGTAGTTTATAAATTATAAGACTGTTAAGTATAAGCTCTGCTATAGTTAATATATATAGATTTAATCTCAGAATAAACTTAAAAATTTCTAATAAATACTCTGAATATTTTAACAGTATTAAGAGATATTTTAGAAGTATATTCTAAAAGTTCTGTAAGCTCTAAAACTGACTAAGTTCACTATTAAAAAGAAGTCATTATAAGAAGACTACTGAAAAGAGCTACTGAGAGAAAGTACTATACTCTGTAGTAACTGATTCAAGAGAGAGTGTTGAAGATTCTGCAGTTAATCAGCTCTTCTATTAGTAGTATACTGATAGTGACTGAGCTCTTTTATCTCAGTAGTCTACAGTTTTCTAGTGTACTTGCAACTCTGAGCACAATCTCTGCTAAAATTGTTGACTAGGCTTTCTATTATAGACTAGCATCTCACACACAGTATTTCACACTCATGAGATAGCTATCAATAGAGGGATTCTGCAGTGCCAAGTTATATGAAATATTTAGTACACACAGTCTTTCTGTATAGACATAGATGTCATGATTCAGTGCTGCTGTGACATAAGCCTTGTAAATATTATATTCATTTAATTGAAAACCTCTTATATACTAGGTAATGAATATAATAATAATCTATAACTGTAATTGACACTAATTATTGATAATTCTGCAGAGTGTGCATTATAATAATAATAATAATAATAATAATCTCATCATCACAATAATAATAATAATATTATTATTATTAAATGAATTTGAATGTTGAAGATGAGATTGCAGCAGCTGCAGCTGCAACCGCCGCTGCCGCTGCTGCTGCTGTCACTTGTACAGTTATTTTGAACTTTAATAACAATAAAAAGTGTGGTCTTTCATATCAATATCAACTGCCTGTTTCATATACTTATTTTGATTTCAATCTTGAAAATATACCTGATGAGCAGATAGTATTCAAATTCCAGTGCATCAAGAATGAGATTCATCAAATCATACTCTACATACAGCTTGATCAGATTGAATGAAAATATCACTATAATTCATCTGATGAACTGGCATTTTGCATTCTTCTTAATTATTTGACATTTTTCAATTGATATGAAAATGTTACAGATCTTTTTGAACAGTCAACAAGCTTTGTAAATAGTGTCTTTTTAGATTTAGTTATTCATCTTAGAGATTGATTCAAGAATTTTCTTCACTGAGATTCAACTTGTCCTACTGTGTCAAAATTACAGCAATATTATCAGCATATTGATGCTCAAGAAGATGGAGATCTAATATGAGATTATATTGATGAAACTCTGCAGCAGATCTGCCAGCCTACAGAGGATTAACATCTTGCATATTTAAGTCATAAGTATACTCATGAATTCAAATATTAAGAAATAATGACTTCTGATGAATTGCTATTCTCAATCTATGACTCAGTTGTTGACAGCTGTGATGATTGATTTCTCTGATGTAAAAGTCAAATAGAATCAGAAGTAAAAGCTCTATTTGATACTGTCAATATTTCAGAAGCAGAACAACTATATCTATTCAGAGATCTCACATATACAGGTTCTTCAGTAACAATGAGAATGTATAAAAAACCTAGAGAAGGTCAGTTAACTGCTGAGCAAAAGAAATTCAACAAGATAATAACAGAGAACTGAATATCAGTTGAGTATGAATTTGAATTGATTCAATGTTATTGAGCATAAAACTCATTCACTTCTACTCATCAGGTTCAAAGCACTTCAGTGGCAGCTTGTTATATGATAACTTACTTACTCACTAATATAATAACCTGCCTTCATGATAATCAAGTCTCTGAGTGATTTGACTGTTCTTCATCAACATTGAAGAAGTATTTTGCAGGCAGATTGAGAATGAATGAGGAGAGGAATGAATTAGAAGACAATTTGAATGAGGAATTAGAGCAGGCAGTAGCAGATTTGAATGTGAAATGAGAGTAGTAGTGATGACAGATTTAATTGTGAAATGAAAGCAGTAGTAGTGATAGCAGATTTGATTGTGAAATGAAAGCAGTAGTAGTGATGACAGATTTGATTATGAAATGAAAGCAGTAGTAGTGATGGCAGATTTAATTGTAAAATAATGATAGATTCTTTGTTGATATATTAATATTATTATTATTGAATCTTAGAATAATTCCTCAATCTGGTAATTTATTGTGTAATTTGTGTATATAATACAGAGATGTATTATATTAATCAATGAAATCACTTCAACAATCTAATCTTCTCATACAAAAAGTTGATGATGTTTTATAATCATGTAATTCAACTGTAATATAAAAATATTGTATGAGATATCAACTAAAGAGCTTGCACAAGTAAATATATATTTCATCTGTCATTTCATTCTTCATTCTCTCTTCATTCTTTCTTCATTTCACGCTTCATTTCACTCTTCATTTCACTCACTTCTTCAACTATCATTTCATCTGTGATTTCACTCACTTCTTCAACTATCATTTCATCTGTTATTTCACTCATATTTACTACTCTTCTCTGTGCTGCTAATTCATCTGCTGAAGTAGTGTCATTATTACACTTATCTGCTCACTCATTGTGCTCATTTGACTGCTCATTTCATTAATCTGACTTCTCAAATTTAGCACATCATCTTGCAGCTCACTATTATTATTTTGCTCAGAAACAGAAGAAGAATAATGAGGATTTCTTGACTCAGTAAGAGATTGAATAGCAGCAGCAATAGAATTCAACACAGCTTGCAATTCTTGAATAACATCAGGTGATTGAGTGCTGAATTCAACAGTAGTAGTAGTCTTAGAAGCAGGTGAGTTCTCAAGCTGTTCTTGATTTCTTTTTCTTCTTTGTTTCATCATTTCATTCTGTATACATTTGAATCTCTGATGATGATTTTCTTCTGCAGTTGCAGCATTCTCTTTGACCTGCTTTCTGACCTCTTCAAGATCATTGAGAACTAGAATTCATTCATTCAGTGTCAGATTCAGATCTGTCACACTATAAGCAGTTCTAGATTCTTCCTGTATTGTATTCTTCTTTTCTCAATGCTTTCTAACAAGCTGAGTAATTATATAATCTGGCTGCTTAAGTGAGCATCTGAATGTTTTCTCAAACCACATTTTGAAGTTATTTCAGAACTGAAACTGAGAAAGTGAGTGATAATCATCTTGATTTTCAACATAGTATTGAATACACTTCAATCTTTCAGATTCTGTAACCTGGAAATGACCCTGCTGAGCTAGTGTACAATTAGAGAATAGAAATTCATACTGAGAAGGTTGAGAACTTGATGATAATAATGATGATGATGATGATGATGATTGCAAATGTGAATGTAAATCAGAGAAGATAATATGAATAGAGAAAGGTCTAGATGAAGTTAGCAGCTAATCTGCCTTACTACTGACTTGCATTTCAGTATCTTTCATTCCTGCAATAACAATAATAATAATAATATGAGATATGAGACTAACTTTTTAAAAAAAGATTGAGATTATTGAGATTGATGAGATTTATATCTACTCCGCAGCAGATGATGAAGCATCAATTATTATAACTAACTGAATAAGAAAGGCTGTATGGCACTAATTACATGCGCATACTATGTATGAATTCGTGTGAAAACATCGCATGTACAGATCCACCTGTGTGATAGTAGTGTTAATTAAAAACACTACTGAACATTAATTTATATGACATTAAATCATATAAGAAAGGCCATTACTGTGAAAGGTGCTTGCAGAATCTCTTTAATACAACTCAGATCTCTCACAAAAATGACCAGTCTCATCACATGATTCAGCCTTGTAGTTTGTGTCACATGTCTGTTTCTAGTGATCTAACATATAAAAGAAGTGCATCAAATAAAAATTCAAATCTGGAGAGAAAAGAAAAAAAAAAGGAAACATCAGAGCTGTTTGATGAGGTGTTATATATAAATGAGAGGCAAATGACAGTTGAAAATAGTATATATTCTGCAAGTTAAGAGATGAAATGTCACCATGCAATCTATCAGTTCACTGCTTCAACACTAAGTTAGCACTTTTCAGTTTCAATCAGAGATATCACATTGTCATATATCTTGAAATTTGAATAGAGAAATGAAGAGGGCGGGGGAATGAGACTCTGAATTGAATTTGATAGACGGTGAAGAAAACTCTCAATATATACAAAACAAGTCTTTGAGACTTACATGCTTGACCTTGCTGCTGAATCAGAAAAATGCAATCTCACAAGGCTAAGAAAATTAAGTGTCACTTTACTAGTCTCACACTGGCTTGTAAGACTGATACAGCATGACTCATCTCACTATGCTTATGAACTCTTGAACTCATGTCTTTATTTGAAATGATAACTTATATAATAAACTCTTCAGACAAACAATGATTGCACTGCACAGAAAAAAGAAGAAGAAGAGAAAATAAATGAAAAGCAATCACATTGAAAGAGATGTTAGACAGTGCTGAAATATAAACTGTCTTACAACTAATCTATGAAAACAGTGTCAGAGCAGCAATGTAATCATCAAACTAGAGAACAGTTTTTCATATAGATATATACATGTATGACAATAACTGATCTGAAATATAACATATAAATTTATTTAAAATCACTTTGTGCTCATTTTATATCAAGCCATTCATTTCACAATTTTGAATTTAAGATAGATATATTAAAGAAGACAAAATGTTTTATACTATAAAAGTTTAATGATATATTATTTCAATTGAAAACACAAATAACAATTCAATCTGAAAAATCTTGTCTAACTTTCAAAGATAAGAGAACACAATTCAATCATTGAAGAAGTAAAGAGTTTATATATGAATTATTTTGTTATTTTCTTCTGCTTCTTTTTAAGAAAGAAAACATGGTTGCTGAATCTTCTCTCTGAGATTGAAGGCTTTCTCTTGAAATTGATGAGTATTGTAGCTCATTCTTCATCAGTGAGAAATGATTTATTATTCTGATAGAATCAGTTTGCATGTTTCATAACCATGAGGTCAATTTCGTCATCAAGCTCTGTCAGAGACCATTGCCTAAATTTGTAGTTACTGAATATAGGTTCAAAGCTCTCAGATGATTTCCTTGCTGATTTCAAGACAATGATGTAGCTGGACACGGGATTATTAATAACACAGTCAGTATGTAGATCTTACATGGTCAAAAGATTCAGATAAAACTTACACTTTTTTATTTCTTCAGTCTCAGATCAAGTTTCAAGAATAGTGATCATCATGAAAATATTTCATGATCAGAAATTCACTGATGATAAGGTTTGTCTAATTAGTATATTAACAGTGAATTCATCTTAAAATATCTTTCATGAGGAGTTTGTTTAAGTGCAAAAGCTCAGCTTACTAGAAGGCTTTTATAAAAGCAATATGAACTTGATTTCTTTTATCAAGTGAAAATGTTTTGAAATTCTGCAGATTGAAACCAGGAACTTTCTTTATAACTATGTAGAGTATGAATCTGTTAGGGAATATATCTTTGTCAGACTGCTGTTTCAATAAATAGTCTATAAATCTAGGTGTGAAAGTGCAACTCTTTTTCATATAATTATAGAGACTGTCTATCTCTTGAGTAGTCTCTGATGACAATACACTGAATATTTCAATGAGAAAGTTATGAGATGAGTAATGCACTGACAATCTGTGTTATAGTTAGAAGAGACTATGTTAATGAAAAGAGTTTTTTTTTTTTTTTTTTTTTTTTTTTTCCAGTTGATATTATAAGCAAGTCACTCACTGTTTTCTGATTCTCAACATGATCTTCAAACCACAGTTAGAATCTTTCATCTGAACAGTCTCACACATAGTGAAGACTTCTATGATATGCATCTGATTGATCATGCACTCAGAAAATATTTTGCCTGACTTTCATGTTGTTTTTATCATGAAAAAAGTGATGTTCTTGTTCTTATACTTGATAAAAAAGTTTTTCCTAAGTTCTGCTAGATTATTGAAATGTTTCTGCTTCTGCTTTTCCTTCTCCTTCTTAGCATTTAGCTTCTCTTTCTTGACATTCTTGTCTTGTTCTTTCTGTTCACATTCTTCAGTATTGTGATTTTTCTGAGTAAAGACATCATGAGTAGCAGCTGAACTTGACATGACAGATGAGCAACAGCGGGCAAAGCAGGCTAATTTTCAAATGAACTTGAAATGAGAATTCAGACTGAATGAAGAATGTATAAATAAATAAATAATTGAATATACTGAATATATAACAAGAGAAGAAAGAAACTTGAGAAAGCTCTTCTGAATTTATCTATAATATGACGGAACCGAAGCAGTGACTAGTTAGCGGTGTCATATAAAGATAATTGTTGAGAAGCTGTATAAGTGAGCTTAACTATCTTGCTTAAATAGCAAGCTCATAGACTACAGAGTTATTGTGAGAATATCACAGATATAATACTTAGTATACTAAGAAGATTGTATAAGACATGCAGTAACTCTTGTATATATTTCAGTAGAAGAAAAAATGAATTACTGGCTTTTTTAATGAGAAGTCAGTATCTAGCTATTCTATATAGACAATGAGTGAATACTCTTCTCTCATTTCATGAGTGAGAATAGCTGAAGTGATACCTCAGCAGCATCTTATTATTAAGAAAGAGTAATCTGCTGATCTTGTATAGAAGCAGAGTTCTCATATTCATCAATCAGATCTTTCTATAATATATTCAAATAATGTCATAGAGTGATTGAAAACTGGTTTGAATAGTCTGTGAGATGAATGAAATCATTCACATGAAAGTGATAAGCTGTGTGAAACTGCAACAGAGTCTTAATACAGCTGAGAGTGTGATAATACTCTTCTCTTTAAGAGTATAGTCTCTATACTCTTAAGATTATCAGATTAGAAATTATCTTTATTATATAGCAACAGTTATCAACTGATTGACAGTGTATGTGCTGTACATGATACAAAGAAATAGATGAGTTTTTCTGCTGACTGTGTAGATCTTTCTTTCTCATCTTCATTCAAATTAAATGTGTGATAAGTGAGTTCCTTATATATCAATTTGAAATGTGAAAAATATAGTTAATAAGTAACTTACAGATCTTTCAATATATTCTGTTCTATATATAAAATTCCCTGCAAAAGTGATATATTTTTAGAGACAAAGCTAACAGTAGTGATAGGATTTTTTGAAAAGATTCTTTCTCTCTATGAAACATTTTTCTTTCTTCTCTCTCAATTGTAACAGTGAGTGTATGAGAGTATCATTCTTAAAGAATAATCAAGAACTTATTCTGACATTTTCTAGTGAGTAAACATCTTCATGGTGCAGCTGCAGTCTTCATGACTGTCAAGAAAGCTCAGTTGAAGGTGAAGACAGCAGTGTCAATGAGCCACGGGAGCACTGCTCTTATTATTGCATCTCCTCTCTCTCTAGCATCTCTGGCGGCTGTGGTAGTAGCAGCTGTGCCTTGCAGTGAGGTGTTGTCCCTTCTGCCAGTCAGTTTGTCTGTATCTGGTCCTTTCTCTGCCCCCCTCACCATCATTGTGACACTGCCCCCCCCCCCCCAATCAACACAGTGATGTATGACCCTGTGTGATCATTCAGAGAGAACTCTGAAAAGAGCTTGATTCCAGGGACAGCAGCTCTGAGAAGCTCAATCTGTAGTTTCCCTTTCATGGTATGTCTGAGCCCTGCTCAGAATGCTGCTGAGTTGGGTTCACAGAGTTCTGTGATTTCTTTATCTTCTCTCTGTGAGAAGGCTTCAGTGTGGCCTCTGACTGGTATCATCATCTGTCTGTGCTGCACTAAGCAGCTGAAGAAGAGAAGGATTTTATGCATCTGCTTCTTCTCTCACTCTTATTATTTTTATTATATTCATAACAATGACTTCTGTCTCTCTGTAAGTATTACCTACTCTATAAGAAGGCATCATATCAGCTCTGACAAGAAGCTCAGATGCTCAAGCAGTACAGAGTAAGAGTCTCAGAGCTTTAAGTGTTGACAGATTCTATCAAGACTGAGAAGGTCTTTCTTACTTATCTGTAAAAGAAGATGAAAGCATGAATCTCTGAGATGAAAAAACATCTCAGAATGACTGATCTTAAGAAGAAGTCAGCTGATACTACTGTTGAAAGCATCACAGAGATTAATTACTGATTAAAGAGAATCTCACTTCAGTTGAAGTAGATAACTGAGATACTTTGTAAGTTAATAAGTTAACACTTTCAGTATCTCTTATACTCTTCTGTAGTATGCTTCTCTGCAGTACTGCAGCACTAACTTCTCAGCAGATAAAGATACTAATACTGAAGACTTTAATAATGAAGAATAAGTTTGATGAGAATGTAATTATTAATGAGTAGACTCTGGTCTCTCTTTTTACTTTTTCAGTGAGCTGCAGCTCTATTAGAATAGCAGCAGTTCACAGATTAATAATATTAATCTTTTTATTAGTTTTTAATATCTCTTTTCTCTAATCACTTCAGGAATTTTACACTTGTGTAGTCTTATTAAACTTCTAAAAAATCCTTTAAGAGAAAATAGAAGAAGAGTGTTACAGAGTCTATAAGACACTGACTTATTATTATAAGATTATCTCTAAAAAACTCTTTGAAAAAAATAAGAAGTCTCAAGCAGTATTTCTTGTTCAATATCTCTGATATGTAATGAGACAGTCTCTACTAGTCATCTCATAGCTTGTAATCTCTTTCTCAGTATTCTTTAAATACTTAAGTAGTTCTTATGAATTCTCTGATAATGAATATTCTTCTTATTTAACAAGATATTAAAACTTACTGTAATATATTTACTTATTTAATATTTTCTTTATAAGATATTTAATATCACTCTTAATCTTAATATTATTCAGCTGAAACAGCTTCACTCTGAGATATTACTTATAAGACTTTAAATAGAAAATGTGAAAAACAGAATAAATTGATTTCAATTCTGTGAGTAATTTTAACTCATATGTCTGCTTACTTATTACTCTTATTACTGAGAAAGATTCTAGTCATCACTCACTGAGCTTCTTATATAATCTTATTATCTTGATATTCTTTGCTGAAAGTAGTACTTAATTCTCTATTAAGAACTTCATTAAAAGATGTTTTTAATTATAGTATTTTATCTATTACTTCTGAGTATAACAGATACTTTTCACTGTCTTTTTATGAATTTTATTCAAAAGTTTCAATCTCACTTTTACTTCTAACACTGAGAAATACTTCATTCTCTGTATCTGTTTAATATTCTGACTGTTTATTTCTCTCTTTAAAATGTCATCTGCAATGTTACTGAGTAATAAAGAATTATATTCATAATAAGTATAGAAAGAAGATATCTTTAAGATTACATTCTTTATATTATTATATATGAATTCAGTGATCAGAAGGTGTTTGAGTTAATTATTCTGATAATATAAATAGAATGCTTAAAGATGCTATTCTAGTGTCTGATTCTGATGTTCAGTCTGGCTATTGATCTGCAGATGAAATGTGATATTAAGAAGACATCTTATTATAAGATAATAGTAAAAAGTCAATCAGTATTTACTGATGAAGAGGGATTCTCAATCTGTTATTAATAATTTTAAAGCATCATGATTATAAATGATAGTATCTAAAAACAGGTCAGTTAATTCAGAGACTTTAATTTTTTTATAAGTAGAAATATATCTGATTATCTTTATAAAGCAGTTAATAATGATTAAAATTGAGTTATATTCTTTGACTTTTATTAACTTTAGCAGATTAACTATGAAATTCATTGATAGATTCTGTCATAAGTTCTTTGAAATAGGCAGTGATATTAACTCACTGTATTACTTATGCTACAGAATCTTTATTCTTTGACAGACATTGTAAGTTTTAATATACTCTTTGACATCTATCTGAAGCTTGTCTTAAATATATTTATATTTTAGAAGCTTCTTAGTCTTCTCTAATCTGAAGTGCTCTGTATGAGAATTATTATGATGAATTCTTAATAACTTCTGATACACTGCTCTGTTACAAGAAACAAAGACTGAATCATTCAGCAGTAGAAGTTCACATTCTTATAGTTATCAGTGACTTGATTTCTTAGTAATATCACCCTGCTTAGAGCCTGTCTCTTTCAAGTTCAAACTGAACTCTTTCTTCTTCAACTTCTGAATTCAAGCTGCAGTAGAGATGTCTCTCTTCTGTAACTTATTAATAAATTTCAAAAGTAGTCAGATTAAAAGGTTGTAGACTGTTTCATTCTTTGCTAATTCAATGATTGTAAGATGTGATATGAGAAGCTCATAATCTTCAGTGTCAGTTCTCTGCAGAGACCTGGGTTCTCTTTTATCTTCTATACTGAGTCATGCAGCTGCCTCTTCAGTGCTGTTTCTAAGCTTTAGAGAACTTCAACCCTCTGTAGCCAGCTTCTTCTACAGTGATGACAGAGGTTCTTTTATAGAATTCTTCTTCACATCAATGATATTATAATCAGACTGTCTAGACAGTGTATCAGCAGAGTTAAGCCAATCTGAATAATATTGAATATAGAAATCATACTCTGAAAGCAGCTCTGCTCATCTGGCTTGACATTCTGTCAAGCTCTTTGTTGTTAAGAAGTAACACAGATTTGTATAATCAGTAAGAACTTACACTGAGTACTTACTACTCTGAAGATAATATTATCAGATCTTAAAGAATTTGACAATTACTAACATCTTCTGATCATGAGTATCATACCTTCTCTGCATGAGTGATAACTTCTTGAAGAAGAAGATCACTGATCTTTATTCACAGTGTCTTATAGACTCTGTGAAAAAGCCTTCTCTCACAGACAATTCATTGTCTGTTTTCTCAGAAGTGATTATTCTCTAATCTCTTCAATGTTAAAAGATCTCTGATATCAACTGTGAAAAGATTTCACAGATCTCATTTTCAGATGCATCAGTCTCACACTGACTGAGTAAATTAAGATTAAAATGATTCAGTATTGTGATATCTGTGAAAGCTTGTTTCAATTCTGCAAACATCTGCACAGTGTCTTGAGTGAGAATAAACAGTTCTATTTTCCTATCTTTCACACTTTTCTTCAACAGATCTGTAAGAGAAGCAGTAATCTGTGAATATGTATAGATGAATCATCTGTAGAAATTTGCAAATTCTAGAAATATCTACATCTCATAATACATTCACAGCACTGATCAGTTCTCAATGATGAAGACTCAGCTTCTGTTCATTGAAATGTTATTCACTTTAATAATATAATCTAAGAAATCAATCTTCTGTATATAGAATGAGTATTTTTCAGTGTTTGTATAGAGTTAATACTGTCTCAAGTGACTTAATACTTCTTGAACATGAATATCATATTCTTTCTCTGATTTTGAGAAGATTAAAATGTCATCCAGGTATACTATACAGGAGATGTTGACAAGGCTCTGCAGTGTCTCATTTATATAGGCCTGAAAGATGGCTGAAGTGTTACAAAGATTAAAAGATAAAACAAGATATTCAAAATTGCTGTACTTGGTATGAAAAGCTGTTTTTCAAATGTTATCTTCATTAACCCTGATTCTATGATAGACATTCTATATATCAATCTTTGAGAACATTTTTACTTCAGATAATCAATCAATCATCTCATCAATCAATGATAATAAATAGTGATTCTTAACTGTCATCTTGTTAAGGCCTCTGTAGTCTATGCATAGATGTAGTCTATTATTCTTCTTAGATACAAAGAGTATAGATGTCTCTGCTGAACTCTTTAATAAATATATTCAGTTCTTTGATTATGCTTCTTCAAGATATTTATACAGAACATTCAATTTCTTTACAGATAAGTTGTAAAGAGGCCTGTACAGTGCTGTTGCACTGTCTTCAAGATAAATCTTATATTGTATCTTGATATCAGGAAACTTCACTGCTTCTCATTTCAAAAAGACATTCTTAAAATCTGTAAAGAGATGTTATATATATTCATCTTCAATGATGAATACTGCTGCTAATCTTGCAGTGAGAGTGATGACTTCTTCATCTGTTCTCAAGTCTCAATCACCTGCTATACAGTATATTGACTCAATCTTTTTCTCAAGATTCTTCTAATGAAACTCTTCAGATTTCTCTATCACTGCCTCTTTATCAGTGAGATGATACTGTCATGCCTGAGTGACTCAGTCAATGAGAGAATTGTTTTCTCTCAACTATAAAAGATCTAGAATGACATTCTCATCTATGATGTTAACTGTATAAAGAAGCAGACTGCTCTTCTTGAAGATTTCTTCTAAGTCTGTGATCACACACTTCACTTAGATTATGTTAAAACAGTGATATTTCATTTCATCAGTAAATTTTACATGGTCTGATAAATCTATCTTCTTTCAATTCTTCATCAAAGAAAAGAAATAGAATATGAAGTTAGTATTCACTCTGAAGTTGAGTAGGCATCTCACTGATATCTTCTCATTCAGAATATGCATTGTAATTATAATATAGACTCAGAAATATAAGAATTATCAATTCTTTTCTTTCTCTTCTTTATCTTCTGTGAATACATTTGTCA